TAATGTATTTCACGCATCGATGTTGCGTAAGTACGTGTGCGACCCCGATCATGTCACCCTCATACGGATATTCAGGTTCAGCCAGATCTATCATACGAGGAGCGACCGGTAGCTGTACTAGACCGTCAGGTCCGTCGGCTCCGAAAGCGAGATATTCCCCTCGTGCGCATTCAGTGGGATCGCCACGGAGCTACTTGAGAGGAAGAGTCCGACATTCGCGCTCGGTTCCCAGATTTTCAGTTTTGATGTACATATTTCTTTATCCTATGTACATAATTCATGTATATCAGCTATGTTTTGAATTTTCGAGGACGGAAATTTTGTAAGGAGGGAGGATTGTAATATCCCGTTATTTTATCGGTATAAATTATGTTTAGTTCCGATATAATAATGTTAACGTTTATTATTTTCAGAATTAATTATTTTCAGTCAAGATTACCGAAATCTATTTTCGACGTACCGATTACGTTCGAAATAATTTTGGTAATTAAATATTATGTTTAATTGAATAATTAAACATACTTAGTAATTAATTAAGCCAATTAATCACATCATTTAAGCCAAGCCATGAGTTTTTTAAAAAAAAATTTCATGCCCTAATTTTCCTTAAGGCCGTGACCTTCCTTAGTCCAAGGGAAATGAATCTCATCCAATCAAAATAAGTCACTTGTTAACCAAAGGAGCCACTTAGTCATCCCCATATTAGTTACATGAGAAGCACTTGGCAAGCATGGGAGATGGCCACGCCACTCCTACATCACCCCATCATCCCCACACGGCCGACTATATAAGGGAGACTTAACCAAAAATTTTTCCCTCAATTCTCCTATAAGACTTAGCCATCATACTCAGCATATAGTAACCTCTTTCAGTAACCATAAAGTTAATCAATTTCCCTAAAGTTTTCATAAAAAACGCACGGCAAAGCTAGGCATCGCACGGCAAGCGCAAGAGCCAAGTGATCGCACCTTATCGTCCAATTCAGTCGAGTAATTCAAGAGGTAACATCCTCCCCCTCTTGTAATCTAGTTAATAAGGTCAATTTAA